AGGGGAAGATGGCATAACTGCAGAATTTTATCAGAAGTATTGTTTTTTGATACATGATGAGCTTACGCAAATATTAAAAGAAACTTTTTTTTTATAAACGCTTTCCGAATCGCAGAGACTTGCAATGATGACATTATTATATAAAAGTGGGGAGAGGGAGAATATTAAGAACTGGCGACCTATAACATTATTAAATGTAGGCTATAAAATTTGCTCAAAAATTCTGGCTGAACGTTTGAAAATTGTTCTACCATCAATTATAGAAACAGATCAAAAAGGGTTTATGAAGGGCAGAAATATTTTTGATTCTAATAGAATGCAGCAAGATATTTTCGGTTTTATAGATATGGAAAACGAGGAAGGATCCATCATTTTTCTTGACCAAACAAAAGCTTTTGATGATGCAGAATGGGAATGGTTAGATGCATGTTTAGAAAAAAATTCAATTTGGGGAAACTTTTCGGGAATGGGTTAACATGTTACTAAAAAAGCTAAAATTTGTTTAATGACTGACTGTTTTCAATCAAGACATATCCCAATTTCTAGATCAATCCGTCTGGGCTGTCCAATATCGCCCATGCTATACATTATACAAGCAGAGCCAATGGCAGCCACAATTAGGACTAATCCAAAAATTCAAGGAATTAATTTACCTCACCCCAACACAGAAAATGAAAACAAAGAGGTTACAATAAACATGTTTGCAGACGATACACATTTTTTAAATAGAACAGAGGAATCAATCGAGGAAACATTTAAGGTTTAAGAAATATACGAGAAAGCATCGGGAGCCAACATAAATTATGAAAAAACTGTAGAAGTATATTTGGTTCGTTGGAAAAATAAAACACCAAAATATAAAAAAAATAAGGTGGTCAAAATAACCAATTAAAGCATTGGGAATTATGCATAAATACAGTGTTAATATAGAAGCTATATGGTTAGAAAAAATAAAGAAAACTAATGCGTGTCTTGAGGTATGGAAATCTCGTGACCTAACATTCAAGGGCAGGATCTTAATATTAAAATCATTGATTATATCTGAAATAGGGTTTGAAATCGAAATGCGAGGAATTCCTGAAAAATATAAAATAGAAAAAAAACAACATCATGTGGAATTTTATATGGGAGGGAAAAGTAAACTTAATTAAGAAAAAATGCCGGGTTGATCCTGGTTTTATGGCTATCCAAACCTCCCGCTTTAAGGCATGTTAAAAAGTGACGTTTTTTTTATGACGTTTATATCATTACAGGTAAATTTCAAAAATAGAATAGATTTGTTTTATTGTAGATACGTACAAGAATATAAAATTGGGATTGAGTTTGTAATGGTATTATTATTTGTTTTTTCTAACCATTTTGGTTTTTCTTCTAAATCAAAACTGTGTATCAACAAAACAAATCCTGTGCTAGAAACTAGAAATCATATTAATGAAATAGCTGATTAATTATCTTAACTTTTACATACATATAGAAAATTGAAAAAAAAATAACTGTAGTATTAGGCAAGATCATGTAAACCAAACAGTAAACACATTTGAAAACAAACAACATAAAACAATAACACTGTAGACGAATCACGAGTAACTCGACTATATTGACAAATAAGACATACGTGAAATGTACCGATAAATACAGAATGCAAACAACAGACGATAAGACATTTCACAATATCAAACCAAACTTAAAAAAGAAACATCATAACTAAATACATGAATGTTGGATGTATAGCATACGACACGTCGTATAGCAAAACGAATTCACACTCGGCAAAACGATCATATTCGAAAATAGGTCACGTCATGTACTTAACAGACCAGATGACGTAGATGGTAAACCACAATCTAAGACGTGGTAAAAATTTCGTTAGTTAGTTATAGTTTATATTTAGTTCTAATCAATTAATCGATTATTAAACCAAACCATATGAGTGCAATTCATTTATTTAAAACAGAATGGAGAATGTGACGAATGTAGTTGATGCTGTAAAGCTGTATTATTAAAAGAATTCAAATTCACTAAAAGACGCTCATATAAAAACTCGAACGAGGTAAAAGATTTTAAAATTCATATGGATTACCAAATGACATATAACCTACAATTACAATAACTGTCAAAATAAATGCAAACTTTGGTTTTCCAACATTTGTATACTCATTATTAAATCAATCAACTAGGTTTCATAGTAATGTTGTAGGTTTGATTCCGTGCCTGGTCACGTCAAGACTTTAAAGTCTCAAATTCATCAAGCACGGGGCGTTTATGAGTAATAGCAAATACTGGTCGACTTGGCAAACGTCCAGCTCAGTACGTCGACGTTTTAGACAAAGCAGGGTTGATATTCATATCACGTTTACATGTTTTCGTCCTGTATATGCGTTGTATATGCCTCCGAACGGTAAATATTATCAATTATATTAATTACAGATTACAATATCATTATAAAAACAAATAATTTTAAAATCAGACAGTGATAATAACACATAATAGCAAAATTTAAAAATATTAAAAGCAACATATTTAATTTGAAAATGTTTGGATCCAGCAAACTCAAGTTGTATCACGGAATCGACATTTAATTAAATTTTCAAATTAATCAAGGCATTTACCTTTGAACGGCAAAGATGAACATCATCCAAACCAATAGTCTTTTAATTGAAAGGCTTTCGGTGAAAATCTAGTAAGATAAAAAATTAGCCATAAATATGATAGAGGTGTAGTTAATTTTTGGTATCTATATCGGAATAGAGATTGGAATATTGATATCTTCACCTGGTTATAATAAGTGACCAAAGGAATGTTCTTTACATAGTGATTTACTTTATATGTTTTGGGCGTCGTCTCTTTTTTTCATTTTTAATCCAATATATTACATATAAGACTACAATTTCTGAAGTCATTACTTTGATTGTCCATTAAATATGAGGCGAGTGATACGAAAAAAGCTGAAGAAAAACATATTTACGATAAAGATAAAAAGAGATTTACAAAAAGTTACATAAATACTAGAAATATTGGTAACATGAATCACATTAAAATAGTGGGGTGAGCTCAGGTCACCAGGGCGGATCTTGATGGGTAACACATGGGATATCACATCCTTATTTTCCGGGTAATCTAGTCTATAGAAATCTTTAATTTACATATCATCCATATTAACAGTATAAGCATTGAATATGCGTATTCTTAAAGCTTATCTATTGAACACTGAAGCAAGATATTTGACTATTCTATTTATCGGTTCTAACATTGATTTAGTTTAAGCAAAATGAATTTATATTTAGATACCTTAATGAATGTTTATATTCCTACAACCAGTCAATACTTTTATGTTGGGATTGCACAATTTAAAACTTATTTAAGAGCGCTAATTACATCTTTACACTGCATGTTTTTTTTTTAGAACTAATATTGCCTATTGTGATTACCTTCATAAATAACTGCTTATAAGGAACCATTATAACAAGATTTCCAAGTGGTGAATTTGAAATAAACAAAAATCGAAATTTCCACAGACGCCATCATGAATCCGTTGACTGTTGCGATTTATTTGCTTCACTGATGACGATTGATATATTCCAATTATCGTAACCACAATCCCATCGTCATTTCTTGGAATATGATCTACTGAATAAGAATAATATCCGGGTTTGTACTTACATGAATAACAAAACGGATGCCACAAGTGGAGCAGGATCTGTTTTCCCTTCTTGTTATGTCTATGTTGTTAACACTGGTCATAATTTTGTATATTATTTGTCAAGCAAATAGTATTTCTTTTTTTTAATGTGTACAGCTGATCAAATTTCAGGGTTAGAACATTTACTTTACCGATGGTTTATTAATTTGGTGCTATCATAGCGTAAGAAAAGAGTCAACTACTTATTCGCTAATTTGTAATGTTTAATCAATTAGTAAATGTTAAAAACGTACTGCAAAATTGTAACACGACGGGTGTCGCATATGCATCAGGATCATCTCACCCAAACGGAGCACCTGAGAGCTCACCGTTTCTTGACGGGATAATTGTTTCGCAGTCTTTCGTTTTCTCTGTTGTGTTTTGTGTACTGTTTTAGTCTTGCAGTCATTTTTTTTCAGCCACGGCATTGTCATTATTTTGAGTTCGAACTTGCCTGTGGTATCTTTGGCCTTTCTTTTACTATGCGGTTTGGGTGTTGCCCATTGTTCAAGGATTAACGATGACCTATAGTTGTTTGCTTCCACTTCATCTGCTCTATGTTGAATAGTGTGTCTCATTTGGAATAATACCATATCACATAATAACAGATTGCTTACTGTCTCTTATCTTAATCAAAAGATTATTTATTGTATAAATTATCCAACCCTTATGATGGCAGAATGTGAAAAAAATTGAAAAGAAAACGCGCTTTTCAAAGACAATGAATTACAAGAAGGAACAAAAAAATACAATCTGAAATAAAATATCATTTAACACATTAATTACCTAACCAAAGCACAACACGGTCCCCGATCGGTTTAACATAATATCCTGTGTTTAAGCTTTGCCAACAAGGATCTGACAACAATCCGTTGTATTTCTGTCCTGGTACTTATTACGTCAGCCAATGAAATGAAAGCCGTCCTTATTTCGAAAGTGTGTAAGAAGAAAAATAGCAAAAATACCGAACTCCAAGGAAAATTCAAAACGGAAAGTCCTTTATCTAATGGCAACATCAAAAGCTCAAAAACATCAATAATAATCCGGAAAAAAAGCAAAGGACTCCGAAAAGTATTTAAACAGAAAGTAGAATGGAGCGTTTTCAGATGCTAGTAAGAAAATATCGGACACACCGAGTCTGTATATTAATCAGATTGCATGAACCCCTTTCAAACACAAAAAAAGTTAATTCAGGAAAACGGAAGGATAAACAGTTCCTTGTTCTTTTCTTTTTATCCGTTGTGTTTGTAGTTAGGTTATTATAATCGATGATAAGTTGCAAGTGTACTGATTTCATGAGATGTATTGAAGGATAAAAGAACATGCTGCAACTTTTTATTTTTATCTTATTATTCGCTAACTGTTTCATGACATTTGAGTTTGCTTTTTAAAAGGCGTCTATGAAATAGAGTCAAAAATAAAACATATCCTCCGTAGTATTAATCTATTTAAAGAATTGTAAATATATTGCACTTTTATATTCCACAATGTTCAGCCGTCATTAATGTGTTTAAAATATGATATGAATGGCACTATGTAACCTCTCCAAAGGCATGTTCAGTGTTTTAATTATATTCCCTTTCTAAATAACTTTACATTTTTTCGAGCGGTGGAGCTTTTTCTTCGTAAGTGACCTAAAAGCGATTTCGGCGTTTTAAGGTTTCTGCCACAACCACACATGACACCTTCCACAGGAAAATTAGCGGGTAACCACTTTGTGAACGAAACTGTATTTGTTATAGCAAACCGTCCTCTTTTCCTAGCTCTTTTCTTCTTTTTCATAAATGTATCCTTTAGTATGTCGATAGCCTCCTTCCATACTACAATTAAAGTTTTTTGTTCATTGATACCTCAATAAGTTGAATGGAATTTCTTTTTTTCTTCTTTTTTTAAATTTAGTTTATATTGTGTTATTTTTCTAAATATAACAAAATGTATTAGCCACAGTACTTGTTCAACAAAAGTATATGTTGTTGTTTTCCCTATTCTGTATTATAAGCAGAAAATGTACAATTATGTGGCTAGAAACAGGTAAGAGATTTTTTTTTTAGAAATATGATACAAAGATTATATATGTTTAAAATAAAAAAAGAAACATGGAATCACTAGATTATTTTTATTGCTGCATAGCAAAACACCATCGTTTACGAAAATTAACTTATTGTATCCACAGTCACGTCTCAAAAAATAATTGATTTCCCCTATTCTATTCTATGAAAGTGATCTGACCAACTTTTTTTATAATAAGAAAAACATTATTTAATAAGGGGATCAATTTCTGTAGAACAAAATAAATGTAAGCAACCTTTTCTTCTATATATTCAAAACAACCCTTTTTAATTATCCCTCCGTGCCCCTAACTAAGCAAATTCTGCAAATGAAAAATCTTGCATAAAACTGTAGATATTCCAAACAAAAATCATACTAGACGATACAGCACGGTTAAGATAATATGACGACTAATAAACCAAGTGTGAAAGCATGCTAGCTGTTAGACAATCTCAGAGTATACAAGTGTATCGGACATACAGGCGAACGAACAGGTAGGTGGACGGACAGGTAGACGGATGGGAATGATTATCATAATCCCTGCGTAGTAGCATACACCTCTGTGTTCGTGTACGATCGGAAATTCCAGAAAAGCCTCCATTAGTGATATTGATCATTAAAGGGAATTGATGTTCGTAATAATTTTACATTTACCTGTTAGTTACTTATATTCCAGAAATTATATTCTATCTGTTCCATTGAGGAATATCACCGACAGTTTTTACGCATGACAAATATTTGTTAATGCTTAAATATAGCAAAAAGAAATATCCCTTTATCAGCTCTATTTCTTTAGCTGAACTTTGTAAAATGCCAGTTATTTTGGTACGTGTGACTTTGCTATTATTGTTTGTCGCCATTTTGTAACTCTTCTCAACCTACTCAGGATTGATTCCCAGTTAACTTGGGTAGGACCAAAAGGTCAAACATGGGAGATTCGACTGCAATTCGAGTGAAGTCGACATACGAATCGAAGGAGGCTAGTGATTTACTGTACAGTAAATATACAGCCACGCCATATTTGCCTAGTGGAATACGATAAGTCTGTGCTATAACAATATGGTGTGTTATTTTTAAAATTTTCTACACCTTACCTAGTTTATTGAAAAAACTCTTGATGGATGAATGTTGAACAAGGGCACAACATAAAATACTTATAGAATAACAATCTGCTTACGTTTTCAAGCAGATTATTATTCTATAGTAATAATAATAATAATAATAATAATAATAATAATAATAATAATAATAATAATAATAATAATAATCTGCTTAAGTTTACAAGCTTAAACTGATAAAATCATTTCTGTAAAATCATTTAAGTATTTTTAACAAAGAATAGACATTAACCATGTATATGATTCAATTTCTTAAGATCTGACAAAGCATATACCTGCGTGTCCCGGACTATATACCACATCTGCTACTGCGAGCTAAAACAAAATGATGAATAAATAGTTATAATTCTAGCACGAATTGATGCTTTTCAATAATATGATTTTTAACAAAAAACTAGGTTTATTCCACACTTTTCCATTATTTCGTTAATATCTGTTTGTGTCAGGGTATCACTGTGTAATACTGGCTATATATTTAGTCAATTGTAACTAATATGTAAGCGTAAAAGCATTTCTCTCGAATATTATCATTTTTGTTTTCAAATGCATAGTATTTACAGCCATTTTTTTTCTTCAAATAAAAACAAAATCGGGATAAACAGACGGACAGAGAGACAGACAGACAGAATAAAAGAAAAGACGAAAATATGGAAATAAAGACTACTTGACTGACAGAGTCAAATATAGGGCACTGTTGAGGGAATGTGGTCGTAATGAATAAGCTTTTTTAAGGTCAAAAAGAGATAAACTATCTAAAGACAGTAAAAACAAATTTTGTTTCGAAGTCGAACTTATGTATCTGTGCCAACATGACTTTGCTCATAAGTCGTTGGCAAAATTCAAAGCACTTATACCTTCGTACAACTAGTGAATGCTTTCAACGAGGTAGAAATAATGCTATTGCTTTTTTATCTAAAAAAGTATTGAACATGTTAAATGTGTTCAGAAGTTTAATCTCGTTAAATATTCGAATAAATATGTTCTAAAATCGGAGATGATTTCATATGCTCAGGAAGGGTGTTCAAACTTTCACTAGTTAAGTTTTATTCAACCAAACAACCAATTCAAATATCTTTACATTCAAAATAACCTTTATTAGGGTTTAAACAGCTTATAAATTTCAATATTAAGCCTGAAGTTTTCGTTTTTAACAATTCGGTGTCGTATTTGTAGACTGTAGTTTGTCTGTTTGACTTTTTTTATTTTGATCATCGTGTTATCTTAGTTTCTTCGATTCATGGACCACACGCAAAGATAAAAAAAAACGCGAAATTAAAACAAACATCCTCAAAGATGCTAGGCTTATAATTGTGTACGCCAGACGCGCTAAATCTGCCATAAGTCTGACATCTTGAAAAATATAAATGTGTCCGTCCTTGATCTTTGAACTTGATTTCATGGAAATTACACCGTACAAATTTGTTTACGACTGAGCAAAAAAGTAAGTACAGAATGTTATATAATATAGCCGTAATAAATAATATAGACGTGTGTTAGGTAGATGCATTAAAAGTTCAATTTTATGATAAATGTCACTCCACTAAATTGTTTGTTAGAAGAGCAGTGACATATGCAGACTAAACCTAAATTTGAATATCAATTAAGAATATATATAAAACCTGATGAGTGTTAAAAATTAGCATCTTTTCTCTTATACCCTTTATTTTGATGAAAAGCAACCATGACTGATGTTCAAAAATTACTAATAACAAATGCAAGTTCATGGTATCGATTTAAATGAAGAAATAATTGTTCGAAAAAATGTCAAAAGAGGATTAGTAGTTTCTAGTGAAAGCATGTTTACTTTTATTCAACACAAACAAAGGTGTTAGAAGAGGGACAGTCAAACTCACAGATCGAAAACAAACTGACAACGCCATGGCCAAAAATAAAAAGACAAACAGACAAATAATAGTACAGATGACACAACATAGAAAATTAAAGACTAAGCAACAAGAACCCCACCAAAAACTTGGGGTGATCTCAGGTGCTCCGGAAGGGTAAGCAGATCCTGCTCCACATGTGGCACCCGTCGTGTTGCTTATGTTATTACAAATCCGGTAAATAGTATTTGTACTCCTATATGATTTTCATTAAAACTAACTCATTTGGAGGCATTTAAAATAATAAAATGAAGAACTATGTGCATTTTTAAAATATGCAAACGAAATTTTAATGTCTGCTCTCTTATATTCATTATATTGATGACAACAACCCATTCTGATGTACAACAAATACTAATACAAAATTTAAGTTCATGATTTCTATTAGGATGAAGAAATATTTGCACTTTTTATCAACACGAACAACAGTTTAGGTATCTTTACGCTTATAATATTAACATGTTATGAAGAAAAAAAATAACTCATCAAGAAGCATTTAAGAGGCAAAATAAACGATTGCAAATAAAGGTACATTGATTTTGATAAAACTAAGAAATATTTACATTTTCAAACAATGCGAACAAAATGTTAGTAAGGTTTATTTTATATTCATCACATTTTTAACTTTAAAAAACAACTCTTCCAGATGTACAAAAAGTACTAATACCAAGTTACGGTTCATGAAATCTTTTTAAATGAAGAAATAATTGCACTCTTCATCAACACAAACAAAGTTTAAAATATCTTTATTCTTATATCATTTACATTTTATTTACATTTTATTTTGAAAACAAACTCATCCAGAGTCATCAACGCGATTGTTTGCAAGTAATCAGGTAATGGTGCATTAATTTTGATAAAAAGAAGAAATATTTGCATTTTGTTTAGCAATGCAAACAAAATTTGAGTATTTTTTCTCTTGTGTACATTGTAATTTATAAAAAAATAAAACCCATCCTCAAGTTCAAAATGGACTAACACCAAATGATGGTTCATGATTTCTATTACAACGAAGAAATAATTGTATTATTCACCAACGTGAACGTATAAAAAGCTTTACTCTTATATCATTCACATCTTATAAAATAAATTTAAAAAGATCATCCGGAGGAATTTAAAATAAAGATTTCAAAAATGGAACATTAATTCTAATTAAAAGAAACAAATATTGACGTTTTTAAACAAAGCAAACACAATTTAGTAACTGGTCTCTTAATATTCGTCTTATTGTATTAATAACAATCCATCCTGATGAACACAAAGTACTTCAAATCAACGATGTGTCATGATTTCATTCCGATAAACTAATAATTGAACATGTTATCAACATAACATTATTCATACTTCATAAATTAATCACGTATTAAGAGGTATTCAAAATGAATGATTGAAAATAAAGGTGCGTTCATTGTATTAAAAAGAGGAAACATTCGCATGTTTAAAGAATGTGAAAACATTTGTAGTATTTTTCTCTTATATTCATCATATGTTATGAAAAACTAATGACGGTTCATGATTTCCATTTAAATAAATAAATAGTTGCACTCTTATTCGTCACAAACAAAAGGTCAAGTATCTTGATCCTTAGATTATTGACTATATATACACTTATCCAGAGGCATTTAAAATGACTGATTGAAAATAACAGTGCATTAAAATTTATCAAAAGATGACATATTGGCATTTTTAACCATTGCGAACAAAATATTAGTATCTTTTGTCTGACATTCAGCATATCTTATTAAATACAACCCATCTCAATGTTAAAAAATGACTAAAAAACCAATGACAGCATGTAATTAAAAGATGAATGATTAAATGATTTAGATGCAGAAATGATTGCACTCTTATTCAACACACAAACAAGTTTAAAGGTGTTTATTCTTTTATTATTTATAAAAATATATTACATTTTATAAAAATTTACTCTAGCGGAGCCTTTTAAATGACTGAATTCAGACAATGGTGCATTTGTTTTAATAAAAAGAAGTAATACAGGAATGTGTAAACAAATGAACATAATTCTACATGTAGTAACTTGTCTCTTATATTCATCATACTGATGAAGACATCCCAATCTACTGAAAAAAGTACTAAAAACAAATAACGATTCTATCAGACCCAGTTCACACTTGCAATTTTAATGTGTTCACACTACAAGTAAACATGCAATCGATCTGACATAATTACCCATGAAACTGTAAACACTGTGTATAAATAGAAATAATATTTTTTTCACCATTTTTGTTGAGCCTGCGACTAACAGCAAAAGTAGGCGAGACACTGGGTTACGCTGAACCCTTACAATTTTTTTATAAACACTTACTAATCTAGTGGCATTAAAAAGCTTTCTTGATAAAAGAGGATGCTGATTCTAAATATTAACATTTTGTCGCTATTAAGTGACGTATAATACCCTATGCTCGTGTCATTATGATGAAACTATGTGATTTATTTAGCAGAAAAATAAAACTACCAATGATAAAATAAGTCTAATAATATATCAAAAGTAATCAATATATTCACTCCGCCATACGTTAAGCAATATCAAATTTAATTTCGATACATTGTTTTTCTTAATGATTTTTTTGTAGAAGAAATGTTCAATATAAAACTGTTAACAAAAGTGAACTTTTGGATACATGTACAACTTCCCTCGATTACATATTGATTGTTCAAAACCTGTTTTTAAATCTGTTTTGTGTGTTTTTTTCGCGTTTATGTTTTTGATTAAACACAAATGATTTTAGCACATGGACGTCTACATGCTTGGAGGCCAATAAAGCGCAAAGAATTAACTTTAAGACACCACAGAGTAAGATTACAGTGGTCTAAAAACAACCGCCAATGGACGCAGCTGGAGAAGAATTTATTGGTCCAATGACAGTCGTTTCTTGCTGAATCCCGTCGACGCCAGAACACGTGTTTGGAGGACACGAAACACCTTATATCGGGACAATAATATCTTGGTGCAAGAGTTTTCGATGGCGGCGGTGTAATAGTATGAGGTTATTTTTCCCATGATCGTAAGCTTGCTATGCATGTTATTGACGATACCATATATTGACAACGATATCGGGATGACATCCTGAACACCATTGTATCGCCTCATTTTGATAATCACGCGTTAGCTGATAGACCAGGGGTCTGTTGTTCAACTTAACGAGTCGTTAAAAGTTAATCGCATGATTAGTAAATACAATGATTAAATTGCGTTGTTCAACTTATTTTAATCATTGTATTTACTAATCACTGTATTAATCTTTAATCATATGATTAAGTTTGGGTAGTTAGCAAGTGTTTCCCACAATGCATTGTAAATCAGGGCCTATATAAATTCCCCCTTCTGCTTTAAGTTATAACATTCTTCTTTTAACCAATTTTTGGGTGCCAATAATTATTGAATAAATATCTTATAACATGTTTATATAT